AGGCATAGAATTCCATTGTGTATATATACCACATTTTCTTGATCCATTCATCTACTGAGGGGCATCTGGGTTGGTTCCATATCTTAGCTATAACATCATCTTTTATGGTCATATGTACATAGCCTTTGGCCTAGAAACACAACAAATCAAATAAAGGTTGGACAAATGGGATTACATGAAACTGCAGTGCTTCCGCATGGCAAAGGACATAGCTAGCAAGATCAATAGAAAGCCCATGGATTGGGAGAAGATCTTCATTAGCAATACAATGGACAAGGGTCTCATCTAAAATATACTTAGAACTAAAAAAATTAAATCCCCCAACAACAAATCCTCAAAGAAACAACTGCCCGATTAATAAGTGGGCTAAAGACTTAAAGAGAAACTTCTCTGAAGAGGAAATAAGAATGGCCAATAGACACATGAAGAAATGCTCAACTTCTCTAGTCATAAAAGAAATGCAAATCAAGACAACATTAAGATTTCACCTCACACCAGTTAGAATGGCTATAATCAAGAATTATATTAACAACAGATGCTGGAGGGGATGTGGACAGAAGGGAACCCTACTGCATTGTTGGTGGGAGTGTAAACTTAAACTTATTCAAGCACTTTGGAAAGTAGTATGGAGGTTCCCCAAAAGATTCCACATAGAGCTGCCCTATGACCCAGCAATCCCACTTTTGGGCATTTACCCAAATGATCACAAGCAACATCATACCAAAGTTACCATGTTTATTCACCATAGCTAAGATATGGAACCAACCCAGATGCCCCTCAGTAGATGAATGGATCAAGAAAATGTGGTATATGTATCTATACAATGGAATTCTATGCCTCCATCAGAAAGAATGACATTGCCTCATTTGTTAGGAAATGGGAAAACTTGGAAAAAATTATATTAAGTGAAGTAAGCCAGGACCAAAGAAACACAGGTCCCATGGTTTCCCTTGTTTGCAATGACTAGTTGCCTACCTCTTAATCATTGCATGGCATTACCTATACAGCCAACCTTGAAAGTAGTAGTAACAGCTAAATACTTGTAAAATACATACATTCATACCTGGTATATAAACATATGAAATAAAAGTCAACAACTATTATTACTGAATTATTAATAGTAATATATTTAATTCAAACCATCTTCCAGGTAGTTAATTTAAACTATTTTAAAAGCCGATATTTACTCTTTATTTTAGGTCAAGTCCAATTCACAATATTTAATTCTGTATGCATAATGTATTTAGTTTTGGCTAATGGGAGATGATTTTAATGTTTTCTTGAACAAAATCCTAGAAACTAGAAATTGCTGTTGGCATCATTGTTTATCTCTGATTATTCAGTCTCTTCCTCAGCAGTGTTTGTGTATTTTTAAGAAAGTATTTAGCACCATATGCTATTGAATATATATGAATATTCCATTATAATCTCTAATAGACAACTTTGCTTTGCCTTGGCCAGCTAAGCTATGTCATTTATGTAAGTATCAGGCTTTTCAGATTTCTCTCATTGTTCTTTATTACAATATTCTCTCAAGCATCCAAGTTTCATTTTTTGAAAAATTATTAATAATATTGCTATAATGTGCAAAATAGTTATTTCAGTGTTACAGTATAAAAAATAATAACCTCTTCCTGATGCAGATGTTACCATTTTAATCCTTGACAGTAAAAAACTTCCTCATTATGGGTTTTGCGTGCACACATACATGCATGCACCAGTACTGCAACTTGAACTCAAGGCCTGAGCACTGTCCCTTGCCCTTTTTTTTTTGTTGGTCATGGAGCTTGAACTCTGGGCTTGGGCACTGTCCCTCAGCTCTTCAGCTCAAGGCGAGTACGCTACCGCTTGAGCTACAGCACCACTTCCGGTTTTCTAGTGGTTTATTGGAGATAAGAGACTCACGGATGTTCCTGCCCAGGCTGGTTTTGAACCGCGATCCTCAGATCTCAGCCTCCTGAATAGCTAGGATTACCGGCGTGAGCCACCAGCGCCTGGCTCCCTTGCCTTTTTCTACACTGGCAGTCTACTACCTGAGACAAGCTCCACTTCCAGCTTTTTCATAGTTAATTGGAGGAAAGACTCATTGACTTTCTTGCCCAGGCTGGCTTCAAACTTGTAGCCTCAGATTTTATCTAAGTAGCTAAGATTATAGGTAGGAGCTACTAGTATCTGGTTCTCAGTGGATTTTAAATGAGTTCCTGTTGAAATAATGTAAAGTTTAGCTCAGAATTCCCAAATATATTTCAAAAACTATTCTCTAAAATTATCATCCAACATAACCATGGTACATTTACCTTGTAAGTCATTTTCCTTGGGACAAAACTATTTGCCCAGCTACATACAGACTATATTCAAATGTCATTTGTTTTCCTCCTAATGTCCTTTTGTTCAATATTCAATTCAAGGTATTACTCTGCATTAGTTGAATTCTTTCTCTAGTCTCTTCTAGTTTATAAAACTTTCTTTGATTCCCTTACTTTTCATTTTCTTAAACATTTTCTTCCATACTGGTCTGGTTATATTATAGAATGTTCCTCAACTTGGATTTATTTGATTCTTCTCATTAT